TACAGTATGAAGAGAGAGAACACTAACCTTGCTTGAGGCGACACAAAAAAGCTTCACAGCAAATGTCTGACTTCCACCGTGATCTCGCCTAGAGGAAGCCACGACCACGTGTCAGAGCAGGGAAGATGGCTGCGGGTTGCGTTCGTCACCCGATGCCGAGTCCGCGAACGGAAGCAAAATTTTGTGAACGCTGCTGTTCACGAACCAAATTGTTCGTGAACAGAAGCGTTCATGAACCGAGGTATTACTGTATCAGTAATCACACTCACCTCTGTGCTGTAACTTTCGTCTTTTCAATTCTCTGGGTTATACTGCTGTCCAAAACATTACAACAGTGTTTTCCTGGTTAGTGTCTTATTCTAGTGTAATAATCTTGTGGCCATATTAGTTGGGAATTCTGGGAATTATAGTTCCAACATATTTGGAAGGTGCCAGGTATGGAGTGGCTCTTAAAGAAATGTGTTGCCCAAGAAAACCAAGGGGAAGAGAAAGAGGGCTGGGGTTCTAGAACCTGGAGGCATATTGCTTGCAATCCTAGCAAAAAGCTATGGAATAAGTACTACTGAAGGTAGGAAAAAAACCTTCTGAGCACATGTAAGTGGCTACAGTTACTTCCCTACCCTTATTAGAGCAAGCCAAAACAGCACACATGTCCATTCTTAGGGATTAAATTTACAAATCTGAATTTGCACAGATGGATGTGTTGTGGGATTTATTGGAAATTCTTCTGCTCCACCTGCTGTTCTGGATACTATGGAGTATTTTCCTCTCTTATTCCTCCCCTCCAGGCCATCCCTTGTGCTGATGGCCATCATTGCTGCCCCCGTGGCACCCACTGCAGCGCTGATGGAAGAGTCTGCATAGAAAATGAAGGTATGTGGGGACAAGGTGGGACAAATTGGAGTCACAGGGAACAGTAACAATAGATCAGTAAGAAAAAATAATCTCTCCCAGTGAATTCAAGAAGATGCTCAATTCAGTGCTGTCCTAGAAGGATATATTTGCCTCATCAGTGTAAGCAAATAAGAGAAGCTAAAACTGCCTTTTTGAGCAAAAGGGTTCAGAATAAGCCATCGTAGCTCTTGGGACTGAGGTGCACAACCTGAGACTCCTGAGCCATGTTGCAGCCCCCCAGCGCCTTAGGGATGGTGATCTCCAGTATTGTTACCGGTTGTAATAATAAATGTGACCAAAAGAAGAATGATGAAATACATGTTTGCAGAATAATCCTATTAACTAGATTTAATTTTAATTAAATGTAAATTAAGTTACTAGTTTCACCCAGTACATTTGGTTCTCCATGTGTCATGCTCCCAGCAGTTTTATTTTAAGCTGCTTTTGATTTGAAAAGAGAATCTGGTGTTTGTCTTGTCAGAGGAATGACAAGTAGTGATGTAGACAAATCAAGTGCCCATTTTTATGCAGGAGAGGGAAACTGAGACTTTAAATTTCCAGGCCTTCAAACTTGAGATGTCAAGTTTCTTCTAATTTTTATTTATTTTGCTTTCCAGATTTAACCTTTGCTGCCATAGTCAGTGCTGTTCAGTGCCCAGATAGTGAATGGGAATGCCCAAATGACTCCACTTGTTGTTTGATGGCTGATGGATCCTGGGGATGTTGCCCAATGCCAGAGGTATGGGAACTCAGAGTATGGGCAAGTAAAGGATAAGTTACAAACTGGGTTGCCATTTCATGCAGACAGAGGTAAAGAATGGCTCTTTGATTTTTAAAAACGTGAAGAGGTCACTGAGTTCCACTCTCCTATCCATCAGTCCAGGGACTCCAGACTACTGACCTTTGGAGTCAGTAATTGCTTGTGGAGCAAGCAGCTTCAAAAGACTTGCATCTAAGGGCACCTCTTGATTACCCAGGACCACATTTAATAGAACCTTTTGTGAAGGCTAAACCCTGGTGGAACATTCCACTGCATTTTGGTCTTTTGGCTTACAAACCTACAAGGTTTAATGCTGCAGATAATTGGTGACCAAATTCCACTAACATGATTTGGGGGTGAGGGTTGTTAGGTTGAGAATAGTAGATGCGCTTTTCAGAGGGATCCCAATCACATTTTCACCCTTCCTCCTTTCAAGCACGCACCCCAGAACAACACATTCCAGTCACCCCCTGCCATTGATTTACTGGATGGCCTCCTGCACCCCCTCCCCGCAAGATCCCTCAGAACCTGCCCGCCTTTGCACTGCATCATAAAACATTGTATTCTGAAGACTTCTCAGTTCTGCGCTGACTTCCCTAAAACGTAAAAGAAAGTAATGATTCTTCAGGTTGCTCGATGACACCAATATTTTAAAAGCTTCTGCAGTTGTACAATTAATTTGGGGCTTTGCTTGGCAGGGGAAGTGTTGAATCACATTCTTGCATCACATTTTCTGCTCACCAGGACTTTTGAGCAGCTTGCCTCAGAGTCCAACCAAAGGAAATCTTCTTTAGCAGTTTTTGCATGAGCCTTTACAGCTTCAGAGACTAGAGATCTTCCTATATGTATTTTTTTTAAATATGAAGTTAGATTTCTACCACCTTTCCCATTACGTTACCAGGTATAGTTTTAATAAATCTAAGCTAAACAGAGCCATCCTTTAAAAACAACAGAAACAACCAAATAAAATGGCTTGTAATAGTATCTGGGCTTTTCAGGAAAGTGACTTCTATACCTAGGCGGCTGCACTACATGCTTTATCTTGCTCCTTGGAAAATTCCAGATTTTTTTTAAAAAAAAACTTTTAAGTTTGTTGTTGGCCTATAGGCTCCTATTTGCTTAAATAAAGCATGCACCAACTTCAAAAAAATAATCACAAAGTGAGTGACAATGTGAAATCGCTGAACCAAAAAAGAACTCTTCCCACAGTACTGCAGTTCCACATGTAGTAAATGTCTGTTTTTTTGTTAATGTTCCAGTGTGCCATTTTCATTAATACAATGCTTAAATAGCATGCTGGAACAAAGCTGTTCATTGAGCACTATAGGAAAAGAGTAATGGTGGGGAATGATGGCACACTGATCCCCTTCTTCTTCCCCAGGCATCCTGCTGTGCAGACAAGATTCACTGCTGTCCCCATGGCACAACTTGTGATCTGGTCCAAGCAAGGTGCCTTGAAGCTTTTGGGGAACAGCCTCTTTCAGAGAAGTTTCCAGCAAAGAAACGGACCCTGGTGTTAAGTATGGAGTAGAGAAATAAAGCTGGGCTTATTGGAGCTTTACTATTGTGCATGATGGGAATTGTACTTTAATCCATTGTAGTTGCCAGGTTGCGTAGGCTGGGTGGCGCTCTCTCTTCAGCATCCTACGCTGGCCAAAAGCGTCAGTTAGCAATCTATTCCCCTGCCCATCTGTTCCACAGAGGCTTTTTATCTCACCTCTTGAGAGGGTAACCTTTGCTCACCTTGCAGATCTGACTCAGAAAAACATCTGTCCTGGTAATCACTCTACTTGTCCAGATGCTGCCACTTGCTGCCTGCTCCCAACTGGCGAATATGGTTGTTGCCTTTTACCAAATGTAAGTACAGGGTAGGATTACACAACTCGTGACCTGGCAGTCCGGTCTCAGAAGGAGCTTCCTGTGTGTCTACTGACATCTGCGGTGTTGTGGGGTGGGATGGGGATTAAAAAATAAAAAGCAAGATGACAGATATGATATTACAGTACAAGCCCAACCCCTTTTGTATGTGCTTACAAAAGGGGCAGGGCTCGCATCGCAGTGCCACATCTGCCATCCTGCCTTTGTTGACGTACAGCCACGCCAGGTGGATGTTGCTTTGTGCGTCACTAGTGTAGATTTTGGCCAAAGGGGCAAACGGCAAGGAGTGCCTGTGCTGTTTAATCAGGGCATCTGTCCCTGCTTGCAGTGGTCTGGTGGGAGTGAGAGATGTTGGGGAATTTCATGTCTCGGCTTCTTCAGAAGCCCTTGGCCCTCATCCACATCCTACTGAGCCAGTGGACTTTCTTTGAGAAAACTGGAACAGCCTCCATTAGCTAGGAAATTTTGCTTGATGCCTTTTACCTTCAGATGGCGATTGAAACACTTCTTCCCAAGAGTTTCCTTGGTACTGGAGGTTGGGAAGGTAGGAAAGAGGCCAAATAATGTTGTGCCTTTTAAGGGTCAACAAATATTTCTTTTGGCCAAGGAATATTCAGTAACATGACTTCATTAAATGTTTTCTGCCTTGTTTATTCTCCCAAGCCTTTTGCTGGTATTTTAAATAACTTGTTTTCACGGCTGTTAGGATGAGTTGTGATGGTCCATTAGAACTGCTTTTAATTCTGGGAATCTGGCTTCTCTTCTGGTTCTGTCTTCGCATCTTTATTTGGATTGTGATTGCATTTTATGTTTGCTGTATTTCGATTGTTTCAAATTATTTATTTTAGTGGTTTGCAATGTTTTCATGCATCAGGACCCAAACAATTAAAATTAGGGGCTGTTTTAGATGGCCAACACTTTCCAAGATTTTTGTAGCCTTCTCCACCCTGTCCCAAACCACCCCTCACTCTTATAGGAGAATGCTTAATCTCATACACTTCTGGAATTATTTATTTTGTATTTAACTGCAGTTCCATAGATTCCACTTGGGAGGTAAAAAGGTTGGTTTGATGTCTTCAGGTCTGAGATGCAGACTCCAAATAAACCTGTGCGTCAACAGACCTAAGTTACAGCCTGCTAATTAAATAAGCCACAGTGTCCTTAACCAAATAATGCATCATGGGATGCTGGGCTCAGATGGAAGCCAGCAGCCTGCCTTGAGCTTCTTTTCCATCAGCTGAGCTTGGTAGGAGCAGGCAGTTGCTTACCAAACATGCTGTCTGCGCTCTCAGCTTCTCCTTTTCTTTTCTCACTAGGCTGTGTGCTGCAGCGACCACCTTCACTGTTGCCCACAGGGCACTAAGTGCGACCTGAAGCATTCCATATGCACCGTGACCCCCCAGTGGTCATGGCCCATCACCCACCTCTCTGCAGGCCTCCAGACAGGTGAGATGACTAAGTGCCGTAGCAGTTCCCTGGCTGAAAGGAAGTGCCTCACGTAAAACAAGGATGCCAAAAGAAGCTTCATGTAGATGGAGGGGACTGACAGTGCAGAGCCAACTCTTAAAAGGAGATTGGATGCTGGACTCTTGTGAAGAAAAGGCGGGAGCTCTGTGGAGCAAGGGAGAAGAAGGAAGGGCAATCTAAGGCACTGAGAAGAAACCTGGGGGGGGGAGGGAGAAGTTGAGCCAAAAAACATCCAGATTGCTAAGGAAGCAAATCTATTTTCCTGAGAAGTGATTATTGCTGTTCAGCATTTTACAAATAATTTATTTGTCCTATTAATTTAGGACATCGGTATTTTATAATTTGCTTTCTTATTGTTAGTTGGTTTAAGATTTGCTGCTGCTTTTGCTTAAAAGAAAAATATTTCCCATATGTTTTGGATTCTAGATTAGTTGCTATTCCAGATGGTGATTGATTGGGTAGTGAGTGGGGACTTATGCCAGTTCAGTGCCCAAAGCAGCTGCTTCATTGCACCATGTAGTAAGGCTGGTCCTGCCCTCATAGCCCATTTGGGACTCCCAGTAATGTTCTGTCAGCCATGGGGGGAAACGAGATGCTGAATTAGACGGCTGGTGGATCCAATCCAGGAAGATACTTCTTATGGCTGTGGCATGATTCTTTCTCCACGGGTGCAGAAAACTGTAGAATATGGCATGAGGGGCAAAATCTAGTTTTCTGAGAAAACATGTATGCTTTCTTCCAAAGGAAGTTAATAGCTTTAAAAATAGCAAAGGTTTGCTGTTCTGAGCAGTGTCTAGAAATACTGGAAACCGAAAGCATTGTTCACTAAGCCTTAGTGTGATGGAGACTGGGGCGCCTGTGACTTGTACAATTTCTTGTTTCTGTTCAATACTCACTGGCAGAAGGAGAATAATTTTTGTGTTAGCATTAAAAAAAGAAATCAAATTAAGCACCTTAGAGACACTTTATAGTACTTTGCTTCACACTCTGCAGAAATCAATAAGTTAGCTGAGAAACTGTCACTGCTACAAACATATTTTAATGTTTGCTGATTGCCGAATTTGGATACATTTTACATGCATAACTCTGATTATGAGTGTGCTTGTATATGAAGCTAGCTGTTCCCAATAGTTTAGAACTTCACCTCATATTCTCCTTTCCCAAGTTGAGCGCTTGGGGTAGTTCCCTCCATAAGTGCAGGAGCATGACAGTTCTGGAAGTAATAATGTAACCAATCTGGAAAGTACCAAATTGGGGAAAGCTGGTCTACCTGTCAGTGGCTTAAGAGAGAAAGCTGGGTGTTGAAAAGGCTTCATGTTCCTCTTTGAACATAACTTCTTTCTCATCTTGCAGCTCGTGATATATATTGTGATTCAGAGTTCGCATGCCCAGATAATAATACTTGCTGCAAGACAACCTCAGGTTCCTGGGGGTGCTGCCCACTGCCAGAGGTAAGAGAAACTATATTTGCCAGAAAACATGGTTAGTTGACCTAGAAGCTTGATGGGGGGCATACTTGGGGTGGTGGTAGAGAGAGATTCCTGGTGGTCTTAGAGGGACTAAACATGTTTAGATAGGCAACATCAGCTTCCATCCTGGCATTTGCTATTTGAAAAGATCCTTCAGCTGAGACTCTGAAAAGCATGTACCAGTTGGAATTGGCACAACTGGATAGGTAGATATTCAGTAAAGAAATAGCCTCCTACCTCCTCTTTGGGCTTGGAATTCCATGATGGTCTCACTGTCTTTTGTGTTCTTCCCAGGCTGTGTGCTGCTCAGACCATGTCCATTGTTGTCCAAAGGGTTACCAGTGCAACTTGGAGGAGGGCACCTGCCAGAAAGATGCCCAAAGCATCCCTTTGGTGTCAAAAATAAACCCAAGCTCCACAACAGCCTCAAAAATAGACACAAGCTCCACAGCAGTCTCCACAGGCACAGTGGTGCAGTGTGATCCCTACGACGCTTGCCCAGATGGCCAAACTTGTTGTCGCCTTGTAACAGGTGCTTGGGGGTGCTGCCCGTTTGGACAGGTGAGAAGAGATCTAAACTTATTTCATCCTTCTGTGGAGGGCCGAAGGAATATCAAATTGCTTTATTTCCTGCCAGGTACTTCCTGGCATTTGCTTAGTCTTGGAAACAGATGCAAGAAAGGAAGGGGTGGGAGAAGTGAGCCTAGTCTGTGAGTGAGGAACAAAAGGGAACTCTAATAATCTCAGCTAGGAGCTGGTTGCCCAGGTTCTGCTTAGCTTGCACTGCTAATTCAGCCCACCTCTCATTTCTCACATATCGATCGCTCACAGCTGGTGACATGTTGAGGTGTGCACAAAACCATCCATCCTTCTTAAATTCTGTGCATTTCAGCTGCTAGGCTTTGCAAGATGTTCCTCTGTTAAAGCTTAGGGGAGGGTCTTGGAAAGGAGAAAGGGGTTTATTTTTGTTTCCCCACACATTCTGTATTGTCTGTTTCTACAGAACTGTAGCAGAGTTGGTTGACTCCAGTACTGGCCAGATGTAGTTTTACAGTTGGTCATCTGAAATGCCCAGGTTTATTAAAAACAAACAAACAAACAGGCAACCTTTTCATAGCTGGGAGCAACACTGTAAGACACAGCATTTTGTCCACCAAAGGCTCCAGAGGATGTGTAGTAAAATCAATGGGCATATTTCAATCCTTTCTTTGATGTGTTTTGAGATCTGGAGGCAGAAGGGGGGAGCAGTAAAACATTTTAGCCTATTTTAGCCCTTATTTTTTAAAATCCTAAACACTGGCAATTTTGATGCTGCATCCTGGAGGCAGAATCAGCAAGTTGCATGTGGGCTGCAGGCTCTTCAGTCTTTGTTTAATAGGGATGGTTTGGAAAAATAAATTATGTCTTTACCTGTGCTTTTTCATACTTTCTAGCTTCCTGCAGCTGGAGACAAAAATAGGATATCGTCAGTTTGGGCCTCCAGTCAGAAGTGGTCTTAAGATGCAGTTTTTGGGCTGGGCTGGGCAGGGCAGGGCGGGGCTTCCTTCTTCTGGTCCAGTAAGCCACTGATGGCTTTCAGCCCTTGATCTGAGCTCCCTCTCTCCTGCCAGGCCGTTTGCTGTCAGGATCACATTCACTGCTGCCCCAGTGCCTATCACTGTGATCCATCATCAGGCAGTTGCCTAAAGGACGGAGATCGTATCCCTTGGGTGGAGAAGACAGCAGCAGTTGTTGGCAGCCTCCTTTCAAGCAGGGATGTAAAGTGTGATGACCAGGTTAGCTGTGCAGATGGGCAAACGTGTTGCCTACGTTCGGGAGCCTGGGCATGCTGTCCCCTCTTTCAGGTAAGTTGAGTGTTTCAAGGCAGGGCATGCATTGTGTGGGATTGACAGTTGGTTTTCCTTCATGGACAGATGGTTGATTTAATCAATCACCCATGGAGTCTCAGAGGAAGAATATATTTGCATGCCTACCTTTGGGGCATTTGGAACAGCCTGACATCATGCTGTTCTGCTGGGCTGGAAGTCACAGATGATGCTGATACTCTGGAAGACCTGCCATGATTAGCTGAAATGAAAGCCTGTCATTGGTGAATTAGTCAACTAGCTCAGCCTTCCTCAACCTGATACCCTTCATACATTTTGCAATGTAATTCCCACCCCCAAGTCATTGGAGCTTCCTGACGGAATAGGGTTTTGATAGTTGCTCTCAGGAACCCATGTTTCTCTCCACTCTCACATGCAATCTCACTGTCAGTAGGTGGTGATGGATCTCATGTTCCAAATACAATACAAGAAAGAACCTTTACCATGAGAAGCATCTGTGGCCAGTATTGTAGATGTTGTGGGGCACATTTGAGGAAGGGATATATGTAAATATTTTGCACATATAGAAAGGCTGGTGCAGGTAGTTCTTGCTTAACAACCACAGTTGGGACTGGCAGCTCCATCACTAAGTGAAACATCACATGACCATGATGTTTGTTATGACATCTCTTCTATTTGGTCATTAAGTGAGTCACCGTCAGTCATTAAGCAAGACATCACATGACTGCAACTTGCAATTTTACTGCTGGCTTCTCCATTGCCTCTGCTTGTCAGAAGCTGGTTGTGAAGTGTGCAAATGGTGATCACATGGCCGCAGGACGTTGCAGTGGTCGTAAATGCAAGGATTGGCCATAAAGTTACTTTTTCAGTGCTGTCATAACTTTGAACAGTCACTAAACAGGGCAGCCATTAAGCGAGGTCTACCTGTAGTGTTATTTCTCCACAGAGCAATTTCAACAACAGTTGGTGTTTGGACTTCTGGTTCAGCATAGCTATTTCTTTCCCACAGGCAGTTTGTTGCAAAGACGAAGCACACTGTTGTCCTCAAGGCTATACCTGTGACATAACACACAGTTCCTGCAACAAAAGCAGGGGCTCTTCCCAGGGGATCTCAGTGACTCCCATTCTGGCAAGGCAAGAGATGGTGGTGAAATGTGACAACTTCAGCAGCTGCAAAGATGAGGAGACCTGCTGCAAACTGGCCTCTGGTGATTGGGGTTGTTGTCCTTTCCCAAAAGTAAGTAGGCTTTGGAAAGGAAGCCTTGATGTGAAGGCAAGATCAGATGCAAGTCTACAGCCTTCTGATGATCATTTAAAAAATACCAGTATGGTGGATTGATGCTGGTACTGAATATGCTGGCAGAAGCCAATCTTTCCAGCCTTGGAGGTCACATGCATTTGTAGGTTCTCCCAGTGATCTTTAGCAGGATTGCTGGGAGGCAGGAGGATATAGCAAAATATCACCCTTTCTCCCAACAGCTGTGCCGCCTTTAGGAGCAACTTCCCCTCCCCATAAAATCAGTCTGTTTTCTGTGGACCATCTGGGCAGTGCAAAAAGTGAACAAGGCACTCAGGTTTTGCAGGCTGCCAAAAATGTGGCCAAGAAATTAAAGGTGCCCATCCATGGAACCTTTGCCTGTGAAGGGTTGTGCTGTGCTGTGCTGGCTGGGAATGGTGGGATTTGTAGGCCTCACATACAGAAGCCACTGGGTTGGAGAAAGCTAGAGCTTGAAGAGGCAGCTGGATAAAAGTCAGGGTGGCCACTGTAAAGCTACTACTAGATTTATCTCTGCTTCTAAAAACAAGATGAAATCCACTGATGCAGCCATTGCTGCTCTTCCTTTCATATACAGTACTTTCCTTATTCCTTTGCAGATGTTTAACTACTCTGTCTGGCAGTCTGAGAGGAGAGGAGAGCGTATTGTAAAAAGCCCATTGAATCATTTGCATCCTTGTTGAAAGCGGCACCTGAAACCAAGGCCAACTCACTAGATTAGGACTGAGCAATACCTTGCTGGCTGTTTCTTTAAAGGAAGCTTCAGCCATTTTTAAAAAGGAATGCAGTACTGTATTATTGTGCAAGCTCACATTAGCGCTTTTCATGGCACCGTTTGACCTTTGGATCCTGCTTAGACTGGCTTTTTCCCCCAACTTTCTGTCTCCCCTGCAGGCAGTCTGCTGCTCTGACCACTTGCATTGCTGCCCCAATGGCTACATTTTCGATCCAGCCACAGGCAGCTGTGAAGAATCAAAGCGCACTCTGCCTTGGGCACCCAAACTGCTTGCCAAGAAATTGCAAAAGGATGGCATTCTTTGCAACAGCAGTGTCAGCTGTGAGGAAGGGCAGACCTGCTGCCTGAGCCTGTCTGGTGCTTGGAGCTGTTGCCAGCTGCCCAATGTGAGTGCAAGCATCATTTCCCACTTCCTTCATGTTCAGGTGCCACCTTACAGGTAGAAACAATACCAGGCCTGCTCCTGCAAAAGCTTACAAATACCATGTGATCTCTGCACCTCTTTTAATCAGGATGAACTGTATTGTTGTTGTTGTTATCCCACTTTTTTTTAATATATAACAAGGTGGCAAACGTACCTAATACTCCTGCCTCCTGTTTTCCCCACAGCAACAACCCTGCGATGTGGGTGGGGCTGAGAGAGAGTGACTGGCCCAAAGTCACCAGCAGGCTTTCATGCCTAAGGTGGGACTAGAACTCACAGCCTCCTGCTTTCTAGGCCAGCACCTTGACCACTGCGCCATTATATTGCGATGCTGTAACTAGATACTGGGATCTAAAATAGGCTGGGAGCTGCCATCAAGGTAAAATGCTGAAAATGGTGCAGGAACGGCAGCAGTGGCAAAGGGCCAGGAGAAGCAGAGTCTTGACAAGGAAGGGAGCGAAAGGTTGTTTACACAGCTGGAGTTGGGCTGCTTGTACTGCCTAGGGTGGGCCCATGGACAGGGGCATCCGGGGGGATGGTGTCTAAAAAAGCCAAGATGGCAGCCATGGGTAAAAAAGGGGCAGGGCTTCAGTCCTGTGGTCATGGCCACCATCTTGGCTTTTTTGATCCCACCCCACCCCCTGCAGATGGATCATCTGCACAGGCGCGATATAAACACTCTGCTGGAAAAAACTAGCTGTGCCTCTGCTACAATTACTTTTTCTAGGCACAGGGAGGTACAAGGCACTGAAGTTTCAGCCCCCTGCTAGGTTTTTGAGATGCTTAGAGGCTTGAGAGTTTATGAAAAGAAATGTCAGTATTTGCAGTGGGCTGCCTTGTGTGCCTAATAAGAGCTTCCGGACTTGCTTCTCTGCCAGGCTGGCCCTTCAGTTAACCCCCTGCAGTCCTAAAGGTGCCTTTTCACATTCCCATCGTGGTTGTGAATTGGGCCTGGAGGACAAGCTAAGCCTTTCCTCGTCAGCCAAACAAGAACCGTCTCTGGAGATGCCTGGAGGGTCTCCTTGAGAGAAGTGCCATCCATCAGCCCCTGAGAGCTTTCAGCTATTTTGTTTTTTCTTTCTTCCCCCATCCCATGTCCTAATTCAGACATTTTAAGCTTAACATGGAAAGGGGAGAGAGAAGGAATAAAAGGGATGTTTCTGCCTTTTGGACAAAGGTTTATTTGAAGCAAAGTGGAGCCATAACAAAATTAGTTTTATTTAGGCCCTTTAAAACAGGGTTCCTCAACCTCAGCAACTTTAAGATGGGTGGACTTCAGCTCCCAGAATTCCCCTGCCATTCCCCATGGCTGGCTGGGGAATTCTGGGAGTTGAAGTCCACCCATCTTAACATTGCTGAGGTTGAGGAACCCTGCTTTAAAACATTCCACCATTGGATTTGGTGCACTGCACTGTCCCTTCTGGGGTAAGAAGGAGCATTTTTGTATCAAAATCTTTCATACATACTTTTTAAAACTGGATGTCTTTTCTGTTGAATCCTGTGATTGGGGCAGGGCCGGAACCAAGCTGTGCCTCTTCTCTTGTTTTCTGCAGGCAGTTTGCTGTGAGGATCACCAACACTGTTGCCCCTCTGGCTATACCTGCAACGTGGCAGCCCAGAGTTGTGAGAAACGGCAGTGGCTCGGCCCCCTGGCTGCTGCAGGGGGCCAGCTGATTTCCTCGCAAACTGCTATCTCCAGTCAGGATGTCTTGTGCGGTGAACAACATTACTGCCACGAGGGCCAGACCTGCTGCAAGGCCAAGGGGGGTGGTTGGGCCTGCTGCCCTTACCAAAAGGTTAGTGCCCAGGCCTATAGATTCCATGATTGTGAGAAGTTCAGAGGAGGCCATGGGTGGGTGCTGGGCCAGGTCTCCCCAAATAAGTAAAGCAATGTACAGTATGTTGTTCCTCTGTACCAGGGTTTCTCAACCTTGGCAACTTAAGATAGCTGGCTGGGGAATTCTGGGAGTTGAAATCCACAGATCTTAAAGTTGCCAAGGTTGAGAAACACTGCTCTATACCATAAGAAGAACTGGTATTTTACTAGAAGGTTGTCTTTGTCACTGTATAAAAAGCAAAGGCAGCCTTGCTGGGAATAAAGAAGACCCATCAAATTCTACCATAAATGTTCTGTGCAAGTTTTTGAGTACTTCAGACTCAGGTGTGTTGATAAAATCAATAAGACAGGTGGAGGTACGTATAATTATATCATCACATTCAGATTCTAGGGATGCAAGCCTTTTTTCCCAAATGCATGCATTTTTAAGTTTGGCCAAGGCAAGATAGAATACTGAAAAAGAAACTGCAATTCTTCAGAAACTGAAGAACCTACTGTTGCTGTGGATTTGGGTGTAATGTAAGCCCCTCCATTACACAAAATTGTGTTGTAGACTCAGAATCTAAAGCTCTTTCTGGCTTTTATCAGCTAAATATATTTTCTAGGTCATCCTTCCTCAACCTCCAGATTTATTGAGAATCATGTAAAGATTCTGAGCAACGTTCTTGGTTCTTCGCTAATGGATTGCTGTCCTTCATTGTCTCCTCTTCCACTTCACAGGGAACCTGCTGTCGTGACAAGCGCCATTGCTGTCCATCAGGCTTCTATTGTTCCATATTTGGATTTCGGTGCTACAGAAGGAAGCCTTTCCGTTGGGACATCAGTACCTTCTCCCCACATTCTGTTGGAGCACATGTTTTGCTTTGAAGTGCCTTTTGGGGTGGATTTGCCTGATGCCTTGGGTTAGAGTGAGCTGTTTCAGGGAGAGTGGTGTAAGAAGGTGAACCAGGGCCATTTTGCCAAATTGCTATTCAGATCCTAAAGGATGCCTACTACCCTACACTTATCACCATCATGGGCCAAGCAGGCCATCTTCTCTACTTATAACAAGTCAACCCTTGTATTCCTACATCTCATTTTTCTTTCTTTCCATCCATGGTTCATTGCCCTGTCCAAAGTCATCAGGGCTGCAAGCTGGAATCTGGAAAAGTTGCCATCTTGAGCTTCTGCTCTGAAGGTGCAGTGGCTTAACCTTGAAAGGGAGGGGAGTTTCATGCACTTTCCAAAAAAGAAAAAAATAACAGATTGGCAGATGATTTTGCTGCATTACCCCTTCCAGCCCTGTCCATCTCACCCCACCCCACCCCACCCCACCCCCTTCCCAGTTGGCTGGTGTGTTGCTCTTTATTTTCTGGATGGCATCACTTACTCTCTGAAGAGCAAAAGTGTCTCCTTTTTCTCACAGTGTTTGGAAAGTACAGAGATGTTAATTGCCCAGGTGAACCATTGCAGATGACTTGAATCACTTCTGCTTAAAGAAGGGCTGCCCAGCTACCCTTCATTGAGGTATTATGGTGATTTCTGCTTTCTTTTTAAGATCCTATTCTATTTATACACAGCTTCCCTTTTTCAGAAAGTCCTAACACTGCTGCAGGAAGATGCAAGCTTATTTCTGGACAAGTAATACACATTTGTTTTGTTTCAGCTGATACTTAGATTTTGGCACCTGAGCAATTGGGGGGAAAATGGTTGTCTTTGACTATCTCTGTTTGTGTGTTCTGTCCTGTGATCTCCTATGCAGAATGAACACAGTTGATGCTGCTTTTCCTCCCCTGCACCGCCCCCCCCCCAATTGCTAATATGAGAGCTTCAACTTAAAAGAGACAGGTGCTTTCTCTGTTAGCAAACGTTGATGCTATGGTTGCACAGACAAATGTGGAAAAATCCAATAAAATTTGATCAAGGTAATGGTACAGTTTTCCATTTTTAACAATTTCTACTTCTTAACAAAGGTTAACTTACAAGAAACTTAGAGGATTTTCACATGATTTGTGACTCATGGGAATTAGGTTAATAGCAATTAATTTTTAAGTATCTTGGCTTTTTCACTTGACTTGGGGTCAGGGGGAGAGAATTTAATCTTTCTTTTACAAAGTATCTTTAGTGATCTGACAGTTTGGTTCTTCCTCACAGAGGCCGCAAAACTGTGGAGGTACCTTCTACATAATTGAAACTTGAAAGTAGCCGTCTTGCCCTTGAGGATGGTTGGGTTCTACACAAATCTGAAAGGGCGACCCTTTTGTCTAGATCCTGCCACAGTGTTATAGAACAGCACTTTGCATTCACCCTACATATTAAATGATGAAACATTTACCTAAACTTGCAAGACAGGACAGAAGTATTTTGAATCATAAACAATCATAGCAGGATTCCATCCACACTTTGTGCCCTCTAGATGTGTTGGACTGGTGGGTATGGGACTTTTAGTACAACATACCTGGAGGTTGCCAGTTTGGGGAAGGTTGAGACAATGTGAAGGATAAAGACAGTATTACTTAGGGTGTGCTTCCATAACTCTGGCTGATACTCTTTTTTTTTTGGCCTAATATTTAATGTAACCTTCATTTATCTTGCCCTAATTATTCTGCTTTGGCTGTTGCTGTCAGCTTGGTGCAGGAGCCAGAGAGTGAGAACCAACAGGTATATGGCTGGGACATCTTTCCCTTACACAAATATTGACCTCTCTTCCTGAGTAGCTGTTGAGTGTGGGTACTTTCTTCCCTCTCCCCTGCGGCCTGCTCTCATCCTCTTGACAAGTTGACTTCATCAAGAGCTGGGTGGCCCTTTCATAGTCCTTGCATGATCACTTCTCAGCATCAAATCAGGGATGAGAATGGCTCCTCTCACCTACAACAGCCACCACTACCAAGAAACAGGTACCACCTTCAGCAGCCAATTGATCTCAAGGGGGTGAGCTTTGGAAATTCCAGTGTTTGTTTTTAAGGCACTTTGCAAAACCACTTGGAGCCAAAATGAAGCAAGATTGGGGCAAAGGGTATAGCAGGAGGCAAAGAAAAATCAGCATGTTAGACTGAAGGTAGTTCAGGATCTTCTTTACATCATAGGGAGAATGACATTAGAGGACAAGGATTTCTGATTCCCAGTTAAAGTAAAATTTGAGGTGATTTATAATGTAACTTTAAGGAACAATATTGAACACTGTTCCTTGCTGAGTGATGGCCTTGGCCCAACCAGCCATTTTGATTAATATAGTCCCTTGCTTGACTTCTGCTGATTATAAAAGCTAGAGCATGTCTTGCACAAGTGATTTTAGATTTTAATTGGGCAGCTTCTGGTACCATGGTCCTGAGATGGGGGAAGAGGGACCTTAGCATGGATACATAAGTTTCCCCAAACCATAATGCTAGAAGATTCTCATATCACACCCAAATACTTTGACCACTTCTAGGAGAACTGGAATATGTTAGGCAGGAGGCAAAAGGCTTCCATGTTAAACATTGTCTTTCAGATACAGCTTGAAATTAGGTGATTGCTGGCCAAGAGTTGGTGCACAGCAGTCCATTAGTTGCTCCATCAATATGCAGGGGGATTATCTTCCAACTTCTGAAGTCCTTGTAATAGGCCCCCTTTAACTAAAGGCACTGTTGTAGAAAAACAGATATGTTAAACTGAAAAACAGGGCAATGAATGCACTGGGGCCTAGTGAGAGCTTTGTTCTAGATTGAATATCCTAAAGCTAAAATATGATGAGGGTCTGCTCTTTTCCATAGTTGATGCTCAGTGGAATTGTACTCATGAGCTCCTTAGTTTCTCTTCTACCATCTTAACTGCAGCACCTTTGAGGAATAATCTGAGCTTTTCCTTACACTACTTTCCTTAGTCTTTTTTTCTTTCTTCTTCCTTACTGTTCTCATTCTGGTTTTAGTGCCATATTTTGCTCATTGGAGAAATGAATTCTTAATAATACTATAGTGAGATGTAAAGTGAAAAGGCAAAGTGAAAGAAAGTCTGGATTGATGCAGGATTTACCTCCTGTTCTTAGCATTCCAAATTTAGTAGTACTCAATTTTTTCATTCCATTTTTAATTGTATGCTTTGGTGATCTGAACATAAATTGCTACTACTAGCAAAAATAATCCCATAGAAGTCTAACCAGAATCATGTGCCAATGAGTTAAAGACTATTTACTCCAAGGTAAAAGCCTAAACAAGCAGCTTGACATGAATTAGATCTCTTTGGCTATGCTGACTCGGGAATTCTGGGAGTTGAAGTTCACACATCTTAAAGTTGCCAAGTTTGAAAAATGCTGGCTTAGAATGCCGTGACCCCAGTTAGAGAGAGAGAGACTGAAAAGCTGCCTCATTTCATAAGTGTGCTTTCCTTTCATCTTTTCTCTTTGAAGAGGCATTCATGTAAACCATCCATTATGCTACCCTTCAATTTGGAGGGGGGGGGGGCATGTGTGGAAGTCTTGTTTTTAAAAAAGGACTTAAAAAGCATGCACATTTTAGAGGCAAGACACTTGTAAATCCTTTTGCTCTACCTAGAACCTGTTCCATCTTTTTTCTGAGTTGGCATGATTCTTAATTGGTGGCTCCCAGACTTGGGCGTCGTGTTCATCCATTTTCCCAAGATGTCAGCAGTTCTTCCTTACTGAAATTATAACTCTTTTGTTTTCCCATTTTCACCCCCAGCTCAGAGGTTGGTTTGATTTTGCAGGATGGCTTCAGAAAAATGAATAGGAGGAAAATTGAGACAGCGTTTCTGAAATGGCAGAACCACTGTAAGAAATGGCTCTTCAGAAAGGCATTTGGAGCTACATGAAAATGATGCAGTCCCTGAATGGTGGTGCATCAGCCGTCCTTTTCATTACTGTTGTGTCAATTTTTTTGTGGTGTTACTTGAAAGCTGCTTGGTGTCTTGTTATAGGATAAGTTAATGGCCAGACTGTAAAGGGTTAAAGTTGCACTGGAGAAGCAACCGGAAAAGTATATACATGTAAGACTGATTTAAGTGTTCGAAGCCAAGCTATGAAGGGTTAGAGAATACTTGAAAACTTTTTTTTTTCCCTGATAAAATTCTTGTACTCCCTATGGTCATGGAGTGGTCATGCAAGAGAACACCTTGATAAGACAGACAACAACCAGATTTGATGAACAATCATGACATGATCTGCAACACTGAAATAACCTAGCAATCAATTTATGGCAATCCAGTACTGTTTATAAAAAAGAACTGGTGAGAAAAGAAATCCAAAGACCCATCTCCCACTTTACTTCAAATTTATGTTGGAAATGTGGGTAATATGGGTCATTTTTATCATGCCTGGTGGACTTGTAAAAAAGCCAGAGATTTTTGGGTTCAAATACATATGATACAAAGAATGTTACAGATCAACATTCAACTGAAACTAGAACTTTTCTTGTTGGGATTAATGGACAGTCAATTAGAAAAGAGCCATGGAAGATTATTT